TGCAGAGCAGTCCCAGAAACATATCAACACTTGGGTCTCAAAAAAGACTGAAGGTCAGAATCGCATGTTATCTCTCCTTCCTCCTCCCCCGTCCCTTCCCTTCTCACTTCCATCCCTCTTCTCCCTCCCCCACCGCCCCTTCTTTCTCTCTCTCCTGCTCCCACTCCTGCTCTGCTCCCTTCTCCTCTCTCTTTTTATGCCCCTCCTCTTCTTGCTTCTCTGGTTTCACTGCTGTTTCAAATGGTCAGAGGTAAGTAGACAGGCTGGACCTCATGGCAGAGTTGAACCTCAATCTACTCATAGATGCTCAGCTTTTCAACGACAGAGACTTAATTTTGTCCATTCTCCCAGGACCAGAGTGACTGATACAAACAACTAAATAAACTCGTAGGTCAAATTTCCAGTTCAATAACTGAAACTGGAACATACTTTCACTTGGGCTGTAATGCTCACATGCTGGATGATTCCGTCATCTCTGTAGGAAGGAGACTGATGGTCAAAACCTCCCTGAGTCATACACTTGGGCTTCCTCTTTCCAGGTTCTCTGTGGCCCTCCATCACCACCGCCTTCGCTCTACACGTTAAGCTTACTTCTTCTACTGTTTCTTTCATGTCTTGCACTTACACTCCCTTAATTAGACTTGATAGACCTCACCGTGAAAGGACAACTGCAAACCTTCTGTCAGGACTGATTGGTTCTGCAGACTGAAATCACCCTTTGTGTAGGGTTGAGCCTTATGTGTTTCCATTTCAGAGAATGGCATGTTTGGATCTTGGCCCCCTCGATCAATGGTAGTGTGATGTTTTACCCATTCAGGCCCCTCTGCACCAACCATACTTAGTACCACTGGGGACGTTCCTATTGCTGTTAATAAACAAGATAGTAATGAACAAGAAGTTGTCTTTCCTTGAAGACTTAGCAGTTATTTCCCCTGTTACTTCTTGGAATATTTACTGCTTATGCCATTTGGAGGCAGTGAATTAGCAAGGATGTTCTTACTATATTGAAAAGGTACACCTTGATATCCAGGGGAAGAGGGAGTATCCTTCTCTTCTCCACCTTACCTTTTCCAGGAACGTCTTGTGTTGTGTTTGGAGGATCAACTAGTGAAATCTCTTCTAGAGGCTTCCAGAAGCTCCTGAATGCACCTCCACTGCCCATTGCCAGCTATTTCCCCTTTGAGCCATTCATTCTGGCTTCCTGGGGTGTGTCCACATGTAGTTGTGGAGTGTTATCATTGCATGTAACTTTGGAGCATTAGATACAACCCTCCACTTAACCACGTGAAACAGCCAACGCCTCTCCAGTCCATTTCTCATTTCCTGCTTGCCTTGTTCTCCAACCTGGTATAGTATTTTCCTTAAGTGATTTAGAAGTGTTTCAACATCATTAACTTTGTAGATGTTCCCAAAGCATTGGTGATCATGAATGCCACTTGTATGTGTTGGTTTTGATTTCTGTATGTCACAAACCAAACTCGGCAAATTTGAAAAACAAATGTTCAGATCTTGACTAATAATCAAGGACCTGCCAATAAACCTTACCACAGTTTAGTCATCATGCTTTTATAACAATCAACTGAATATCTTCTTTCCTTTTCTCAAAAGGTAAAATTCGGGACTTGTTGCCAGGTAACTCAATTGATGAACAGACCAGGCTGGTTCTTGTCAACGCAGTCTACTTCAAAGGAAGATGGAATGAAGAGTTCAACAAAACATGCACAATGGAAATGCCTTTTAAAATAAGCCAGGTGGGGGAAGCTTCCAAAAGTCCAGGTAGTTTGATGAAAGAATGGAATGGAAAAATTTAACTTTATAAAAGCATAAATGATTGGTTAAAAATAATTGAAACATACATTTCTGAATGAAAATTTAAACTCAGTAGAAAAGAACTAAAGGAATCAAAAATAGTTGTTGCCTGTACTTTTTTGCATTTTATCACTGCTCTTATTGCCTCTGATAATTTCTCATACATTCATTGCATCCACCTAGTTCTGCCGCCTTTAAGCTAAAATTGTTCAGAAAGTAAAAAAAAAANACTGGGGCTTTATGCTGGGGAGAGAGAGGGTAGAAGGAGTGCAGGGAAACTTTGTCTACAGGAGGAATCAGGAGCCTCCTGAGGATGTAATGTTTGAGGCATTAACAAGCTGAAAGGGATGGAGAGTCAGCTACAGTGTTTTCAAAGGCTCCTAGGTGATTCTGGGGACTGGCGAGTTCTGGGTGGCTAGAGGCGGAGGCTGGATCAGAAGGAGGTGCCAGGTGGAGGAGAATAAGCCATGTAAGTCAAGGGAGCTTTGAACTTGTCTGTTTGATCTACTGCCATTACCACACTTGGCGAATCACCTTAAAATTTGGACTTGATTTATTTTTTGCAGAGAGCAACAAACAGTAAATGGATTTCCCTCAAACTTAAAATATTTATGAGCTTTAAGATGAAAAAAAGTACAGTTCCAAAATTACCATGTATTAGGTCCATAACATCAGAGGTGTACTGAGCAGCTGTTCTCTTTATTCTCTGGCTCCAGATCCTGCATCATGGATGCTCTTTCTGAAGCAAATGGCTCCTTTGCCCTTCACCTTCTGAGGGTACTATGTCAAGACAATCCTTCTCACAACGTGTTTTATTCTCCTGTAAGTGTCTCCTCTGCCCTGGCCATGGTCTTCCTGGGCGCAAAAGGAAACACCGCTGCTGAGATGGCCCAGGTAAACCTGCCTGTGTGTCCCCTGGGAGAAAGAAGGGGCTGCCTTTTTGGTTATTCTGTTTTATTACCAAGCTTCACGCCTCAGACCTTTTGAAGAAGATGCAGAGGGCAGGGCTGAGGGACTCCTCTGGGATTTTTTGGGAAAAGTTCCTCCAATGAATAACCTGGATTAAACTATCAAACTTTATCCTAGCACTTTATCTTTGTTTAGAAAATAATACTGAAATTATTTGAAATCTAAGCAGCTCAGGTCTATCTCATTCTTGGAATAAAATACTTTGTAACTATAATTATTCACTGGCAAGGAAGGGTAGCTTAATATCTGAGGAGATAAGTATAGAGTCAACAAGAGCAGGCTGTGAGCTGGCAAGAATGAGGTTAAAAATTAGTGCTTAAAAATTAACTGCTTGGCTCTGAATCCCCCAGCTAGCATTGCACCTTACATCCATCATAGATGGGAACAGAATAGTTCCCAAACACAACAGCAACCCCCGGCAAGCTGACATCCATCATCGATGGGAACAGGATAGTTTCCAGGAGAGATTGTAATGGCAGCCCCCCTGCAAGCTGACAAGCACCCTACATCCTGCTTAGAAAAATATAAACTCGAGCTAAACAGAAACCCACAGCAGCTGTCCCTCTCAAACTGCCCTGGCAAGACTCTTTTGTGAAGTTCCCGACAAAACTGTGTCTCTCTGCCTAACTTTCAATAAATCTTTTCTTGCTCTTATAGAGTCTCATGAGTGCTTACACATTCTGTGAACTACCAGGGGTTAATTCTATGCGAATACAATATCTATTTCAAGTCGTTGGTATACTAACATGCCTTCCTAGCTCAGTAAGGGCATAAACACAAATATGTGAAAGGCATGTACTTATTACATGTAAAGACTGCCTACTGCCTAGTTAGATGAGTTTAACAAAATTCAGTGAACATCCAAAAATGATTAAGAATCCATTGCTGTTCCCATAAAGTTTTATAGAATGGGGAGACAAGTGCCTGAGGCAAAACCTAAAAACTAGATCATAGCGGAGCTCATGGCCGTTCATATACCTTCACTGTAGAGGGTGAATCAGTGTGGCTCTTGATTCGGTATGACTTTCTTTTTCCTTGAGAATCCTTTTCAGTAGTGATTACTCATTTTAATCTTTCCAGCTCATGGTATGCCTCAGTGAAGGTTTATGTGTGT